TGTCTGGAGTTTGGTGAGGCAGTAAACAGAAGCACACACATGCACATGAGCCTCAGGGCCTCTGAGAAGTTGACATAGTGAGCATTTTGTCAAAGGGACCTTGGAGGTTTCTGTGGCACCACCTGCCCAAGCCGTTTGGAATCTCCAAAATGAGGTGCCGTGGCAGGTCTGCTCAGTCTGGGGGACGTTAGCAGGTGATGGATGGTTCTCATTCTTCTAAGACTCTCTAAAGAGCAAGCACTTTAATTTCTGGTGTTTGGGGTCTTGTAGAGCTTAGGATGTTTTCAGCTACATGCACAGAAACCCCACCTCAAATTGGCTTAAACAACAAGGACAGGGATTGACGCCTGTGTCTGGACAATGCAGAGGCTTTGGGACTGATGTCACCAGCAGCTCTGGCGTGGCCTTCTCACCATTGCCTTGCTCTGCAGCTCTGCCAGTTGGCTTCATCCTCATCCTGGCAGCAAGTGGGGAGCAGCCATGTCTGCCTCCCTCTGAGTCACACCTTCCTTTGACGCCATTGGACCAATTTGGGTCACATATTCGAGTCTGCATCCATCACTGATACAGAGGGTGAGTCTTCTTGTCACCATCCATGCCACCTTCCTACTCTACTCAGGCCAGCTTTTGGAGCTGGGCTTGGGGTCGGTTGCTCCCAAGACACATTGGGTATGCTGGGTGAAAATAGATAACCTGGAAAAAAGTTGGGTTTTTTTTGTTTCCAACTGGAAAGTCATGCTAGGGAGACAACACGCAAAATGCTCATCAGACCCTAAAACTCTTCCTGGTAAAGTAAAAGTAAGGGTGATGGGGAGGCAGATAACGGCAGACCTGGAACAGAGGAGACCAGTTGGACAGTTCTGACACTGTGGATGGCAGTCAGTCACAGGGGTCTTTGAACAAGGTGCAGAGAATTACTAACCTCTCCTGGAGAAGCAGAGGACAGGTCTGAGTGCAGCAGGCTATGAGAGAAGAACATAAAAAGGGAAATAAACAAATCCACTTAGGGCTACACAGGAGCAAGGGACGACCTGGGAGGATAAAGATCTGAGGGACGCAAATCCTCAGAAGCTGGTGCTAACCCAAATCTTTCCTCCAAGTGGACATCATGACTTGCGGTACCCAAGACTTTTGTTTCCAGGGTCCTCCAGAAAAGATACTAGGTCTTTGTTCCTTCAGGCAGCCACAGTCCTGCGGGGACGCTGCGGGAAGACACATAGCTATCCTGACACATTGGAGCCCATGGCAGGA